AACCAACACATACAAGGGCTCCATCTCTCTCCTCCTGTTTCTGTTACTCTGCCCTTCAAGAAAATACATTAAAAATAACTTTAAAAGTAAAGAAAAATAAGTTATTTAGATGCAAAAATGTATTTTGAAATCTGTGCACAGGTTTGTCGTAATATACATTTCCATGGACTTTTTAAACACCCCACATACACACACACACACACACACACACACACACAAGAAGTTTTGGAAACTTGTCTAAGCCATCATAACTATACACAGAAACAGATACACACATACACAGGAAAAAATTATATGAAAGTACATATACCAAAATCTCAAGAGTGGCAATCGTGTTTTCTTTTTTTTATTCTTTCGCTTATATCTATATATTCCCTATCATACATATTCCTACAACACATAATCCCTGCTTTGCAAATTTAGGAAGATTGATTTTAAAGTTAAATTAAAAAAAATACTGCATACTTTCAGTGTTTGAAGGTCTCACTAGGGATTTTTTCAGCATTTATTCAGCATCTTCTGTATTTGTCAGGTATTAAGTTTCCCACCTGGGTTATATCACCTGGCCGAGGTTAGGGATATAACCTCAAGTAAACACCCTTTATTTAGCTGGATTACTGTGCAATCCATGTAACAGCAGTTAGCAGCTCTCATGCAAGCTTCTATTACTGATCTTATTAACTCAGTGCATTAAATAAGGAGACAAACTTTCAGTGTTTTTCCTTTGACATAAGTTGTTCACCAATTGTAGAGATTTGTTCATCTCAAAAGGCAACAAGAATTTGGACACCGTACAAGGTGAATATGCATCACATGTGCTATTTCTTAAACACCCAGATTGAGCCTTCTGGAATGTTGCTAGTGTTAAGAATGTGGGCTCCTGAGTTATACAAGCTAAATTCAATTACTTAGCTCTTATATCTGTATAATCTTAGGCAAGTTCCTTAACTTCTTTAAACCTCGGTTTACCCATTTGAAAAATAAACATAATTATAAAGGTTATGGAGAAAGATCAAAAGAGAGGCTGTGTGTAAAGTTTATAGAAGATAGTTACATCTCAAAAATGTTATTTTTTGGTTTTGGAAAGAATGAGTTCCTTGACTGTAAAATTCTTGTCCTCATGCCTACATTCATTCTCAGATCATGGTAGTCTGAAAAGATAAAAACAAAAAATATATGAAGGTATCTGAAAAAATTGGGAAACAATGAATTTTTGGTTATTAAACCAGAAAAAGAAAAAAGAAAAAACTAAAAACAAAAATAAATGCAAAAGGAGAGGGAATCATCACAAAAAACACCATGAAGGAAGGCCCTTAATGGGGAGAGCAGTCATTTTCAGGCAGCCAAAGCTATGGCATTTACAATCAAATTGTACAGACAACAGTCTTGGGGTTTTTTCCCTCTCATCTCAGGCCTATTTCTTCCTTTCCTGTGGTCACACCGGTCACTGATAGGAACCTGAGGAAGCCATCACAGGGGCAGGTAAAAAGTTGTAACAAGAGGATAATAGATGATACTTGGTAAGACATGCATTGGGCCACAGAGGATTTCCTCATTCAAGTTGAGCAACTATGTAAGTCAAGCACAGGTGTGTCCAGAGAGACCAAGACACAAATGAATATTTCACAAACAGGAGTATGCTCACAGAATCACACTAGCTTACTGCTCATAGCTCAGCTTTACACACTCTCTGTAAACAGAATCAATGTTGGCCAAGGAAAGAACAGAACGAGCCTCAGACTTGCCATTTTACTAGAAAGTCATAAAATGATTAAAATATGGTAGGTACTAAAAGGACATAGAAACTACTGTGAAAAGGCTTCCACTGGCCAAGTCAGGAATACCCTGAACACCAAAGTAATTACAAACAATAATCAATCATACTCCATTAGATAAAATCAGAATGGGTGAGTTCATAGGAATACAAACGAAAACAGAGTACATAAAAATGGAATGGATATGAAAGAAATTGACATTTTGAGATTTGATTATCATTTATAGCCTTTTTCTATACTCCTGAGGAACAGTGGTTTTTCTACTTACTACTTGTTGGATTCTTTATTTAGTTAAGTGTGCGATTATAAAGTAAATTGGAAGTATTTCATCATAAAAACTACAAGAAAAATAAGGAGGGAGGAGAGTGGGAATACAGGAGGAAGAGGGGGAGGGTAGGATGGGAAGTACCATTATGCTCTTAAAACTGTTTATATGAAATAGACAAAATGTGTTCCCTTTATATAAATTTGGTAAAGTAAAAAAACAAAGAAGACTCTTCTTGACAGAATTCCAGCAAACAAATAAAGAAGGATTGCTAGAACTAGACAATCTCCATTCTCAATCATCAGAGTAATAGTTAATTCAGGCACAAGTCATCCATCAATGGATGTTAAAACTAATGAGTGAAAATTTGAAAATCAATAAGATGTTTTTCATAGTCTCAAAATATCTCTCCCCACAATTTATTTTCAATGACAAAGGGGACAGTAGTAGTCATCCCCAATAAAATTATTAAGGACTTGAAAAGTTACAGAAGCCTGGGTATTATCAGCTGTCTCCAGAAGCAATTCTAGGAGGAGATAACACATTGCCATTTGTGAGAGTAAAGAAAGAGGAAGATTTACTCTGAGAAAGTAGCACTTTGCCCTGCAAGTCTGCAAAGGCAGCCATGATCCTGGTGACTTTTTCTAAGCGTATTTATCTTTTCAAGACAAGCAGTCAGGAAAGTACTCTGGGAAAACTGGAGTTCCATAATCAGTGATTTGTTTTCATTGCACAAAATTGTCTTCAGTGATTATCTCTGGGAATATCAGTTTAAATGGAGAATTCAAAATATGCCCAACTGGTTAGATTTTAGAAAATTTTCTTCAAAGGCTAGCATTCAATTGGATAGCAATTTGGAGTTTAACTGTCTTATATAGTACCATGCGCTGTGGTGCAGTGAGTTAACGCCCTGGCCTAAGGCGCCGGCATCCCATATGGACGCCAGTTTGAGATTCAGCTGTTCCACTTCCAATCTAGCTCTCTGTTATGGCCTGGGGATGCAGTAAGAGATGGCCCAAGTCCTTGGGCCTCTGCTCCTGTGTGGGAGATGCGGAAGATGCTCCTGGCTTCAGATCAGTGCAGCTCCTTGTAGCCAATTGGGAAGTGAACCAGTGGATGGAAGACCTTTCTCCCTCTCGCTCTCCCTCTCCCTCTCCCTCTCCCTCTCCCTCTCCCTCTCCCTCTCCCTCTCCCTCTCCCTCTCCCTCTCCCTCTCCCTCTCTTTTTCCCTCTCCCTCTCCCTCTCTTTTTCCCTTTCCCTCTCCCTCTCCCCTCTCCTCTCTCCCCTCTCCACTCTCCCATCTCTGTGTAACTCTGACTTGCAAATAAATAAATAAATCTTTTAAAAAATACCATGCACTTGATGGTGAAAATGGGTGGAGAGTCAAGGCCTATAAATCTAAGTAAGGGTAGCGTTTTTACGACAGACATGGGTGACATGAGCTAGTGATGGGGATCACAAGTGAACTAAAGGATGTAACAGGCGACCAGGGTGATGGGACCAAACAAGTCCATTTATGGGGTGGAAGAGAAGACCATGCTGCCAGAAGCATGAGCAAGTCAGCTTCTAAACGTGCTACAGATTCTGCCCAGTGCCCTTAAACCCTTGTTAAACCTCCACTCCACACGCATCAGGCATTGTGCCAGGTGTGGGTGAGGTC